TATTTCTAGCTGTCCAAGTACAAACAAATCCTGATTGATGACATCAACGTCACTGATGGCATCAAGAGGTTGTAAGCATCCGGTAGACGCATTTTTACTGTCTATAAATGCTACTTTTAAATCCTATGTCCTTTTGTTTCTATTTTGCGTGAACGAGAATGTCCAAAATCCGCCAGTTTTCCTAATGGTAAATTTCACAGGAATATCATTACCCTGGTCATAAAAGCAAAAGTTTGAAGGAAATATTAGCCATTTTTCATACTTTCTAGGCATAAGCAAATAGGAAATAAAAGTTTCTACCCAAGAACAATAAATGAGTTACACAGTGTAATAAACGTTGAAGCTGAAGGTAGTTGTGTTTGCATTTTTCTGGGTAGCTGCATTCTTTCTTCAGGGCCTACTGGCACCTTCGTCCAAGGCAGACACAAAAAAAATATTCAATGTTTTTGATTGGCTCTACCCAGGTTTATTAAGACAGTGAACTGCTTGGAAGACATATTCAACAACACTAATTACTTAACGTTAAGAATATAAATGATAAATTTTGTTTTAGGCTTTCAAATTTTAAGATTAGAATTCTAAAAAGAAAAAATGTATTAACACGGTGACTGCTAGACATCTGACTCAAACACAAATTTTATAATAGCTAACTTCGACAATAAAAATAGCATTAAGAATGTTTTGAGGCACTGTGGAGTGATAGATAACGGCTCGGATTAAGAAATCGGAGAGCCGAGTTCGAATTCCAGTCGAGTTCATTGTTCTTTTAGGACGGATAGGTAAGGTGGAGTAATTGATAGCGGCTCAGATTGAGGAATCGGAGAGCCGAGTTCGAATTCCAGTCGAGTTCATTGTTCTCTTAGGACGGATAGGTAAGGTGGAGTAATTGATAGCGGCTCAGATTGAGGAATCGGAGAGCCGAGTTCGAATTCCAGTCGAGTTCATTGTTCTCTTAGGAGGGAAAGGTAAGGTGGAGTAAATGATAGCGGTTCGGATTGAGGGATCACGTTCAAGTTCCAGATGAGTTCGTTACATTCACTTACGTGCTGATATCCTTGAGAAAGGTATGAATCCATCTTTTCTCCCCTCCCCCAGCTATAGATAAAATAGTCCTATAGCGTTGGGTAACAACCAGTCTAGGAGAAGGACGGCTCTGAATTCAATCCCCTGCTGCTTTGTAGATGCTGACTATTTAGGCAAAGGCTAGAATAAGGTAACTTCAAAAACACATTCCAACTCGAAGAAGGAAATTGCGACCACCCTACAGGACAGAAAATAATGGGCCCTTCGGGCTTAGTACAATGGTCCGAATAAACACAAGACTGGACATGGCACGGCACCACGAACTTCTCTGATTTCGGACCACCCGTTCATGGATGTATCATCTACGGCACTTTAGATGACAATGGCTTGATATATAGCTTCAACTGTAGTCTTCACACTCTATATGTATCACTGAGAACAAACCCGTTGTTGGCACTCACAGAGGAAAATTTATCAGAAAATAACACACAGGCGTCATAATAAAATTTGGCAACGTCGAATTAACTTGTTGGCAGCCGATCTATTACTGGGCCAAGAAATATACACCCTTGTGCAAATTAATTCAAACAAAACGAATAATTCCATTACAATTTACTTTTTTTTGTTCCAATGAGACATTATCCAATGCACATATTATTGCTTCGTATGTTCATTCCACGAAGTCTTTCCTTTCAAATTGACAACAGATTCTCGATTGAATTTAAATCAGGAAAGCTTCCGAGTCAGTCGATAGTACTTTGATTTGCTCACTGGTAAGGCTTGCCAGTGTATTCGTGCAGTGTTACAATTTTCGTAGGCTTTCTGGGAGTAATGTCCACGGCAGGACAACCAATCGACAGTCGAGACAATAGTGTCCGGGCGTGATGACGCAATATTCTTCGAGGCCAAGCAAATTTCATGATACACCCCGAAAATAGATTCATATTACTGTACACCATTGCAAATGACCTAATCTGAGGAAAAAAATAGAAATCGATTACACCCTGTCACTCCAGTGGGTCTAAAACTGACTGTATGGTGAAAGAAAGGAAACTAAAGCGGTTGTTTCAATTAATTTGCATAAGGGTGTATACTTATCAATTACGACCGAGTAGTGAGTTCGATCCTCACTAGGTGCTCCACAATTTCGACCTTGTGCGACATCTAAGCTTCGCTTTGAAAGTTACTACAAGATATATATATATATATATATATATATATATATATATATATAATTGGTATATACGGAATGAATTCCAATAACCAACAATTACTATTCTTAAAAGAGCACTCATTACAAAGTAGAGCAGATGTAATTATTATTTATGTTTCCCCCTAGTGTAGGATCGTTAATTAATCTGAAACTTTTAAAACCATTTATTTTATCTTCAACATCATCACTTGATAAGACACCGAGGGTGTTGAAACAAAATGGCTATTTTTGTAGTGATTTTATAACATACTTTTTTTTTATAAATAATAATTATATATATATATATATATATATATATATATATATATATATATATATATATACTCTTATTTGTTTAAACGCTTTTTAATTAAACATGTATATATCCGTTTTCTTTTTTATTTAATAGAATTTTTTTAAAAGTTTGTTTTCATAGGTTGAAAAAAAACTGTCATAGATCAACTTGACACTTTATTGATATTATGAACAGGGCCTTAAAAATTCTAAAAATGAATAAATATTTATCGATTCTGATGTGGGATAGAAATTTGATAAATAATGATTTTTCAGTGTTTAACACGTTCAGAGATTAATTATGAAATTTGACTTTAAACGCTAAATTTATAATAGCCGGCTTAGGTAATAAACATTTTAAAACCGATTCATGGCTTCAACTAAAATCTTAACATTGTTGGCGCCCACAGATGAAAAAGTACCAGAACATTTTGAGCATAACTCGTAGTCGGTGACATTAATGCAAACAGCCAGTCACTAGTTATCTCGTGGTTGACAGCTAATACGTTAAAACATTTTTTTTAGTTTATGTACACAATAAATTGTTTCAAATGAAATCTTTATCCTGTTACACCAACAATGGTATGAATCCGTCTCTTCTCCCCTAAATAGCAGGACAGACTGGGACTACATATTTGGTTGGCAAGAGGTCCAAAGAGAAGAATTACTCTGAATTCAAAACCTGAGTGGTCAGCAACTAAATCGCCCCCCCCCCACCAGACCAGAATGGTGGTTGACTCTTCAGTGTTAACGACCATCCACTCCAACTATGGGTTAAATAGCCTCACCAACCCGCAACTGGCCAATCACGGTGAATATGGCTACACTCCTGAAGACATGGTCAACCAGAGGGGGGTTCCTCGAAAAGGAGTGAGAAGACTCTGAATTTAGATTTGGAACCTGACATAACCAAAATTTTATTAAACTTGTGTCTATCTTCTTTAGCAACCTGAATAGCCAGTGTTTTGTCTAATGGTGAATATATATATATATATATATAGATACTATTTGATATACATATATACGTATATATGTATATTTTTATCAGTTCACTCAAATGAAGGACATAATGCCACTAAGACGCAAGAGGCTCCTGAGAATGAAAGAGAATGAAAAGACTTTAGAAGGGACCGGAAACTCAGTTCTAAACCGGAAAACTCTTCTTCTGTTCAAAGGACAGAAGAGGAGTGTGAACCGGACAATAGGCGAACCTATCTACTCCTACTGAGAAAAGAAAAAGTATTTCAATAGTAAATAAATGATCAGAGCTTTAGACGGAGATGTTAGGAGTATAGAGTTGAAGTTGAATTTAGAAGGAACCGGAAACACACTTTTAAACAGGAAACAAGGAATAAACTATTCCTGTTCAAAAGACAGGGGAGAAGTATGAACCAGAAGATAGGCAAACCTTTCTACTCTCGTTGAAGGGAAAAAAATTAAATAAATAGTAAATAAAATCTCAGAGTTTAGGCGGAGATGTAACAAGTATAGAGCTGAAGTTTAAACCAATAATTCCCAACGTGGGGCGCATGACCCACCGCTGTTGTATGGTAATATTTTGGTGAAACATGTGTAAAATGTGCACACTTCGGCTTACTATACCAACGTGAGATCAAATTTCATTTTGCATTATTATTTCATGATTAAAATGATCAAAGTATATTACAGAATAAACTTTCATTCAAATATTTTATATTTCTGACTTTCATTTCTCTATTATATATTTTGAAACTATTTATATTTAACTGTCTTTTTGTTTTTTTAATTTTTCTTTTTCATGGACGCCATGGTTTTTGGAGGTTTGTTTAGAGACCAAATTAACGGCCTTTTAAGCTTCCTTCACGTGAATTGCAGTAAAATTTTGAATATGTAAGAATAAAATATTACCGGGGGGGGGCACCATGGTCCAAAATCGGTTGGGAACCACTGCTTTAGAAGAAACCGGAAGCCCAAATCCTAAACAGGAAACAAATGATAAACGTCTACTCCGGTTCAAAAGACCGGGGTGGAGTGATTTACTAAGCTTAGTTTAATAAAGCAGAAAGCTAAACAGTGAGTTTGTATAGTTTTTAGTACTTAGGTTCGCTACTATCTCAACCACAAAGCACGCCCACATCACCTTTGTTTGCTATAGATCCGTACATAAACTATGAAACCTTCCTTATAATATGTAACGATATTTCATAGTTTCATTTTCAAATGTTTATATTTTTTTGTCGCGTAGATTTCGCCTGTTATCTCAGAAATCATTGTCCTATGGGAGGACTTAAGGACTACAACGGTTGGACAATTCTCAGTTGCCTGGTTTTCCAAAAATGGAAATAAACGAAGTGTATTTGGTCATTCCAATATGTGTACAAAGAAGCCAAATATATGGTAATCTCGCATTTGGTAAGTGGGATTATTAATTTCGGCAATACAGCTTTTCTCCAAAAGAGTTGTCCATCTTGTTTTAGGTTGTTGTCCAGGAGAAATACAAAATGAATGTTCTTCAGTCCCAGCAGAGGAGAATCTGGTTTGTATTTGATGGTTGCTCTTTGTCCCTGGATAAAGACTGGAAGCAATTCTTGTCTGGGTCCTCATATAAAAGATCTGGAAAATAATTTAAAAAAAATACAAAAAAACAAGCAAAATAAAATTTAAAAAAATTAACTCCTGAGATGTAGAAGGTACTAAGAGAAAAAAATTATTTTGACAGAAGATAAAAAAATAAATAATAAACACATTTAAAACAAGGTTTACAAGACACAAATTCTTTTTTAATGATTTTACCCCAAGCAAGGCAATAAAACCACTAAGACGCAAGGGGGTTACTGAGTAATAGAAAATATGAGAAAAAAAAACTATTGTAACGAGAGAGCTATGAAAGAAAGATTTATTCTCCCATTTGTATTTCCCCTATTATGAGCATTGTTATATCCGATATATAATAACACCGATATTTAATACATGGAACGGAATGGTTGAGAGGAAAAGGAACGACAAACATGCTTTGTTTTCAATCAATCACTCTGTTCTCGATTGCAGGTTAAATCATTGCAGGAATTTTGAGAAATAGTTTATTAACATCTTTTGATGTAGGTTTAGTTTCTGGGATCAATGATGGCTTCAGAGTTAAGTGAGGCACTATCGACGTAATTTTTGTTTTAATATATACCCAATGCTGTGAACGGAACAAAAAGAAGATTGAAAAATGATCATCTGAGAATAATTAAAAAAAGAATCGAATAATTTAAAATCAGAGGGAAAAGACATGAAAACGGTATAGGTAAGTGGATTATCAAAAGTGGACATTGAAGGAAATGTTCGCAAAATTAACACAGACGTTGTTTTGAAGAACTCTTGAGATGCATGATTGAGGAACCGGAGAGCCGAGTTCGAATTCCATTCAAATCCATTACATTCACTTGCTAATACCCTTGAGAAAGGTATGAATGCTCTTCGTCCCCACCCCCCAGCTAGCAGTTGGTCTACCGACGAAAGAAATAGCAACCTGCTGCTGGAAAAAAAATCTGCCTCGTCAGTCATGTATCGAAAGATCACGCATGGCACATAACTAACATAACTTACGAAATGTAGCCGTAATGGAAGAGAGCTATAGTAGAAAGATTCATCTCCCATTTGTATGTTCCCCATTATGAGTATTATTATATCCGTGATATAATAACACCGTAATTCACGGACGGAACGGAATGGCTGAAAGGAAAAGAAATGGCAAACATGATTTATTATCAGAGATACCTTTATATTATTAAGACATAAACAAAGCTATATATACACATGTCCTATGCAGAGAAAAATATATATCACATATCTACGCAGCAAAGCAGAGTGTAAGAAGAAACAAAAGGAAGGGTCCTGCATATAATATAGATACTCCTATATCTGGAGAAGCCATGTATAGGTTTCCAGATTCAAACAATCCGGATCCATCTATGTCCCAGGCGAGGACATATTCCACGAACAGGAAACAGCAGGGCTTGGGTTTTTGTTGTGGAGTTATTTCGCAGTGGAGGCTTGTATTTGTACTAAATCGGTCCTAAATAGATTCGACGTACAAAACGTTAGGAACTTGATATAATAGGTATTACGCAGAGTAATCTTGTTGTGGTCTCTCACTACTTTCGTATTCGACTAACTGTCGACTACTGTCGTTCGACATCGACGCTATTTAGTAACTACCTAACGCAGTCACATGTAGCACAAGGCCGAATTTAATGTGGGGGTCCCGAGCCCGTAGGCTCGGCAAAAAAATCCCCGTAGACCCCGCATAAACGGGATCGGGTCTGTCTACCACCCCGGACGAAACTCTGCCCTTCGGCATAGCCTCATCCGGTTTCCTCTCTGCTCGAAGACAGAGAGTTCGACTGTCGTCCGACATCGACTAGTATTTAGTCACCCCCCCACGAGGGTATCATGTGGCACAAGGCCGGTTTAACGTGGGATCTCCGAGCCCGTGGGCTCAGCCAAAAATATACCCTTTGAACCCGTATAAACGGGTTCAGGGTCGGTTTACCTCCCCGAACGAGACTCCGCCCTTCGGCGTAGCCTCGTTCGGGTTCCTCCCCGCCCGAAGGCAGAGAGTTCAACCGTTCAGCCGGTCGTCCGACATCGACTGACCCTCGTTTCTCTTACTACTCCTACTTATATTAGGTGGGAGAGTCTATTAACTATAGAATAGGCGTGTTTCATCATAACAGTTTTCCCCAAATTGAGGACTGTGAGCTGAAGTTTCATTCTTATATCTGGGAAATATATATTCCCAAAAGGAAGTACCATGGACTTGTAATCTGCTGGGGAGGTAGATTTAGCCTCTGCCCGAGCCCTGGAGAGGGACGGGCTTAAGAAAGCAACCTCTCTGCTTGATTGCTGTAAAAGGAACTAAATTTGACTGCCGCTTTGGTCACTGTATAGAATGACGTCATTAAGTAGACGTTACATGACCCATACGACTTATCTCCACCAAAGGGAGATAAGCGCCTTATGTATCATTACACTACTATTAAGGAGAAAGGACAATAAACAAAAGAAATAAGAAGGAAATCCATAGACATTTTCTATTGCTACTAAATTTGTATTCCCTTTTTGACGTTATGGAAACTACTTTTTGAGCCCAAATTAATCTCTTTTTAATCATTTCACCCTAAACATGGCAACAAAGCCACTAACACGCAGGGAGGGGGTTACTGAGTGTCAAAGAATATGAGAAAAACATTATTAAGCAGCGAGACCATTAAAAGAACAGAAATTAAGACAGGAAATAACGACATTGTATTTAAATTTTTGAAGAACAAAGTTGACTGAGAAGCAAAAAGCCGGAAGAGAGTTCCACAAATGACAAATGCGAGAGAAGAAACTGTTAGCATAGAACTTACGGATAAATCTAACCATTTCAACTGTAAAAAGATGAGATCTTGCCACTAATCTAGTATTGCGCTTAAATTCATAAAGTCTGGGTACGATAGCGGAAAATGTAATTACAATGAAAGTATTTATAGAAAAGTTAGACTACGGCAGTCTGAAGCCGTGATGCCAGGTCAGGACCAATAATATTACAGATTCTTCTTTGGATTTTATCACCAGATCAGTGGCAGCAATATTCAAAGCAAAGACGAATGGTAGACAAATATGTAACAGATTCTGGTCGGAAAAAACTGTCTAGTACAACAGTGAACTAACTTTCTTAACTGCAGACTTAACAATTGATTCCATGTACTCTTTCCGCTTCATATCAGCTGAAAACGTTAGTCCGTTTAAAATTCAGACCTCCATCAAACATAAAACGGGATCCTCGTTTAGCTTTCCACCGACCAACCCGTAAATCTCCGACATTGCATCTCGATTCTCATTCCCATCGTTATGCAACAAAAACTGGGAAAGGTCCACTATTTACATTATTCGGACTATTGTCCTCATCTTTGTTGCCATATTTATTACAACGTTTCGGCCTTTCAGTATCTGTCTATATTTCTGAGATCAGGTATTATGTACACTATTTATATTATTCGGACTATTGTCCTCAACTTTGTTGCCATATTTATTACAACGTTTCGGCCTTTCAGTATCTGTCTATATTTCTGAGATGAGGTATTATGTACACTGTACGGCAAAATTGAAAAATGGCAAGTTAGGTTTTACAAGCCAGGTAGTAATAGTCACTTGTCATCAGGTTGAATAATTAATACATGTTTAAAGATATCCCGCCCACTCACGACTGCTCTTCGTATCACAGTCACACAACTGTTACTCATGTCGTAATACCAGGAAGTTCAATGGTTCAAGGCCGAAAGTATGGGGCACCTAGTAAAGATTGAACTCCCTTTTCAGAGACAAGCTTGTTAACCAATACACCACGCCGACGCGCCCAAATCTTTTTCTAAGTGTAGCTTAGATGTGTCACAAAGCTGAAAGAATGGCGCACGCAGTGAAGATCGAACTCATTATGCAGTCGTAATTGTTCTAGCGAGACAAGCTTGCTAACCATTAGACCACGCCAGGCAAAGATTAGAATTCTTAAGAAAATAAATAATTGTTTGAGTATCAACCAATGGGGCCAGTAAAAAAAAAAATCCTTGTGCCAACACAAAGTTCAATCGCAAATCTTTTCGTCGATTATGATAGCGAGGGCTCTGGTCACAAACTGGTTGGGTGTCATGTTTTCCATACTGGATGATGCTCGGAGTATCTGTTTAACATGGCTATGCAATCCAGACACAAAGGCACAGGTCATCCATTCTTCAGGTAGTGGCGCGATCGGTACGGCAAGCTTCTTCCGCCAAAAATACGTCTACTGTCTCGTCAGGTCGCTAGCGACGCGACTGGAATTGGTCATAGGCCAGAAACCGGTCGGCTCCAAATGCGATTAGTAAAGCAAGTTTTATTTGCTCAATGTCAGTTTTTTTGTTCTTTGTTCAGCTGCCTATTTATGGTAAGGGCCCTGCCTTTCAAACGCAGTTCGATCTTCGTGGTCTCGCATAATTCGCAGACCAGTTCCACATTCTCGATCCACTCAACCACAGGCTGTCCAGTTTTATTACCAGTGAATTTGGGGATTAGTTTTATGTCGAACGGTCTTTATGCCATCTTGCTAGGGACAAAGTAAGTGCCGAAATAGCTTGTTTGGGTATCAACCAATGAGCTCAGTAGAAACAAAAAAAAAAAAAAAAATCCGTGCGCTAACACTAAGTTCAATTGCAAATCTGTTGTAAACAGTCCTGCAGACAATGTAGTAACGAAAACGGGGTCAGAAGTCTAACCTTCCTCCTTCCTAACAGCAGAAACGCACTTTCACTCATTAAATTCAAAATTGTTCTGCCCTCGGTATAGAAAAAAAAAAAAAAAGCAACGGCCTTTATTCACTGAGCGATTTTTCTGATTGGCCACGTCAGACAGGACAGAAAGAACATTAGAAGAGTTTCTCTGATACTTAAAGTAGCAGCTTTTTTTTTTTTTTTTTGGTGGGAGATATTTTCTTTCATTTTCCTTCGACAGATCATGCACTAAATACGAACTCTTTTTCGAGGGAGGGGATTTTGTCTTTCGGTAAAATAATGATTTGCAATGGGTCATTAGACAAAGTGACAGCTCATGTG